CTGTAATATATTTAGCTTTTGATTGAAAAGGGCGGCATTACGTTTGCCGAAGGGCGGAAAATTTCTTGCGACGGGCCTGTATATATATATAATATTTATTCATATAATGTAAYTATACATTTAGTRATGTATAAACGTCTTATTTGGCTTACACATTTGTCTTTTGTGCTTTTTTCAATTGGCGCCGAATCTTAACATAAATAAGGTCGCATAGAGTCGCCGTTTACTATCGTGTCGAGCCTTATTTACGCCAAAACGTGTTTCTGCATTAATCAGTATTCAGTGACGTAACCAGAATATTGATGTTTTTAGGGTGGGCTAATAATTAGTTATGTTTTATATGGAGGAGTTTAACTGTAGGATTCCGCATACATTTACTATAGGTAAATAACATTTTAGATTATTGCAGCAACTTTTTGTACAAATTGCAATATTTGTAATAAATAGATAGCCAAGTCTTACGTGCCTAACACCATTGAGTATATATGTATGTATTTATTCAATGGTAATACTATAAGAAAATTAATAAATTAAAAAAACTATTAATAATAATTTAACGAGATTATTAAGAATGAACTAGTAATGGGCAACGGTTCCGGCAAGTGAGTCGAACGTGGATCATATACTATWTAGGACCGAGTACTGACCACTATTAAAGAATAAATAACTATATATTATGACGTAATCGTGAGACTGACCCAGGTCAATATTATAATAAAAGGCCTAGTAGTATGATCACTGCCCATACCTAATAATATGTTCAAAGAAGAGAGAACACTGGATGCATTTTTTAAATGTTTCTAAAATTTTGGGGAGGGCTGTAGACCTCTCAGCTCCTCAACTACGCCACTGAAATGTTTGATGAAATTGTGAGTGATTCGTTTCTCAATGTTTATCAATGTTCTTAAAATCTTAATTAMAGAAGGTAATTTAAATCAATCTAAGTTTATCATGTAAATGTTATGATAAGGTATACCATATAAAATATTACAACAATCGAAACCATGTAGACATCGTGTAGTGAAATTAATAATAATAATTTGAATACTACTCGAATTTACTTTAATACCATAGCATGTGATTTCAAATTTTATATTTTACAAAAAAAAAATGTAGTTACTATCAATGGTTGTAGTGTCAACATAACATATCGGCGCGATATCGCATTGACACAAAACTAGTCATTACCGTTACTTATTGTAAAAAAAAAACCTAAATTGGTATAAATTCATATACTCGTATAAAATTTAAAAAGTACCCAAATCTTTTTGCATGATAATTTTATATATCTAACATTAAATTATTTAAATTACTACATGTCTACATTATTATTTATCATCAGTCGATTTTAAATATATTGTTTTAAATATGTATCGTTAATGTTGACTGCAGGTATGGCCAGTCGGTAGACGGCGGCTCTCGTGTATCTCGTATACACATAACACATACCTATACCATTAATTATAATAAAAAATTAAAAAGTGGATCTAAAAATATACACAATAATAACGAGAAAGTAAAAGAAAAATAAAGAAAAATATCAATCGGGATAATACTACCAATCAGATTTAAATACAATAACATAATATGCTAAGAAGGCAGCTATAATAAATCAAGTTTTAAATGTAGGTACTATGTAATTAGGTAGGTAGGTGCTTTCTTGTGTTTAAAATTTCACGCACCTACTTAATCTCACGGTGGGAGTAAAATGTTAATATTAAATTTCTAAATAATAAATATACATAAACATAGCATTATTGTGGGGGGGGGGGGTATTTTACCCCGGATATGTTGGGGGACAATGTTTTACAGACGTTCGAAGATGTTGTTGAATTAGTCAACAGAATATATTTCACTTAATTTAAATATTAATGTGTGTTTTATATAACAATACTATGACGCACTTAAAAGAAAAAAGAAAACGAAAAAAATGATGGTGACGACGACGACGACGACGATGACGATGACGACTTTATACTCTCTTTCTCCTCCTCCTCCTAATCACGATATTAAATATTAGGTAAGTATATGTTTATCATGCTACAATATTTTACGTCATGAACTCAAAATCGTGAATGTCCTCTTGTACAGCTATGTGCCTATAGATGTTGAGCATGGCTCCGAAGACGTCTTTGGGTTGTGATTCTCCACTGCTGCCATTCCCGGTAATGTAATTGTACATGCCCGACAGCAATCCACCGAAAGCGGTCATCATGTCGGGTACGTTGAACGTGATCGGGAAAACAGGAACGGCTTCGACAAAGTTGCCTATTGCTGAGTAGAAAATTCTAGCCAATTCTGGTCCGTCTGTCCTATTTAAAAACATTTAAAAATGATAATAATAATAAATCGTGTAATTTTTATTTTTTACTTAACCATTTAACCTAAATTATTTTAGAAATAAAATTTTTTTTATAAAAATGTTGACGAGTAGGTACATAAAATAACTAGTTTTAAACTAACGGTTTTTACATTTAGATACATTAATGTTTAACGGTTATATGACGAGCGCAGTTGTTATTTATAGTGATGCACAGAAGTTTTGACCCCCAAATATGTAGTAATCAACATTCCTACCARAATATACAATATAACAGAAAACATTTTTACTGCTCCAAAAGTTGATAAAAGATTWAAAAAAAAATACGCTCGCATACAACATAGTCATCATCATTCAATTTATTTTAAAATAAATTATATATCCATCGCTTAGCTCACATGCAATCTAAAAGTTATTGCGTCAATGTATTTTATGTACGTCAATATTTTCATGAAAATAGTATCCTACTGTTAAAGATAAAAATATTGAGAATATGAAGTAATAGATGTTTGTCGTAATAAAAAAAGTTTATAAGCCACTTTAATGAAAAAATATATTATTTGAAAAAATGCATGTTGCTTATGCACATTGCACTTACTTTAAAAGTATATAAAAAAAAGACACGAAAATTGATTGGGACACATTTMTCTTCTGTTAAATGTTTTACACATTAGCCATTAGATATAATTATTATATATTATAAGAATAATATTAAATTTACATAGACATTTTATTTGGTGCTTTTATTATATTTTAACAATAAGTTTCATAGAGTATACTAGTATACATAATAATATAGCTTATTTCCTTATAAATATAATTATTTTAGTTATTTTTAATTACGCTGTCTCTTTCAAATCCGTCATCGGTACTGCCGGAATCACTCCCGTGTCTCTCAATATAGCTGAAATTCCTGCTTTCGTTTGTAATATGTTCAGGCAAAAGAACGTAAAAATCATCAACTGAAAATAAAAGTTGTACTATAAATTATTTTATATATTACGTTAAGAAAAAAGTCATCACATGTTGGGTATGCGTATGCACCAATTTTTATTTTCAAAAGTTAAAACATGATAAGTTTTTGAATATATAAATCTGTTTCATCATCGACAACTAATGTATAAATATTTTATTTGATTTTTCTCCAAAATTTTGCTTCCTCRTCGCTTCCATTTGTAGTACCAGATCAATTATTTTTTTTCTTATAGTTATGTTTTTAATGATGCCCAGTAAGATGGCATAGAGGACGATGTATTGATAATAATTATTGATAGATAGAACAGAACAACGGGTGTTAAACTATGATGAGTTACAGGCTACATGGCTACTGTAATAACAATAATAAATAATAACAAATAAACGCCAATAAATAAAAAATAATAATATAAGATATATTTTAAATCCATTATAATAATATATCATCGTAAAATTGACATTTATTAGAATCCATTTTAACTATTCATCATCTATAATTATTATAATATGTCATTACGCCATATTTTATATCATATGTATGTGTTTTCTTTTATTATGAAGTATAATAATACTAGGTATATAAATATATTTGTAACTACATATTTACGTATTGTGTTTATTAAATAATTTTCTAACCAGTTTTCATTTAAAATAACCGGTGAAAAAATGTGTGTAAAACATTTATTATTTTAGTATACCAACACATAATTATAAAAATATTTGTTACCTTGTTCCACTTAGGAGTTAGAATCTAAAACATTAAATCAAGTTTTCATCAATCGAAATACATTTATGTATATCATTATACATATTTTATAAATTGCAATTAGATATCTATATTTCAGTGCAAGCATTTTTTGTTTAAATAATTTGTACAGTTTTATCCAAATGTATTGAAGCAACATATCCCATTTCTGATTTAAAATATTTTAATTAATTTATGTTATTTATAAATGATAAATGTTAAATGTATATAGGTATTCAAACATATACATTACAGTAGAAACCTATATACTATATATTATCTGAGTGTAAAGAAGATTCATTTAAATAACGACTAGGCCCATAGTCCTTGATGATTGWTTTCTATTAGCTATTTCGAATAGCTGAACATAATATATTTCGATAAACATAAATGTAATTTATTATTATAGATAAAACTGATGGTCAAGTATTATTCATTTCTCCTGATACATCTCTAACTTACGAGCGTACTTCGGGAAATAGAACCGGTTTTCGTACACCGTTTAGTTAAGTTAAAGTGGAAAATCCTAGAAAGTGGAAATGTCACGACTACGGAGACTAGTAAGTAGCAACGCTTTATAATATGTGTGTGTGTACAGACGATTGTGCGTGGCTGTGATCACGATTTAATAATTTAAGTAGAATACAATATCCTTWAAGTTTTTTTTTTCTATACGAGAAACATAGTCGTATTGCACTTTGAACTACCGAGTTTATGGCTAGTATTTTTCTCATTAAAATCAATTAAATTCTAAAACGGGTTTGTTAATATTGTTCACTAGGAGCTACGATTTTATTATGCACGCCATTTGTTTTATTAATATTAAATTGCCAAAATAATATAGCGTTATTAAAATTATTATTTATATTCACTGATTGAAGTCACGGCGGTAGATAATATCTACAGTCTTGATTGAAATATACATTTAAAGATAAATTCTCAGTCGATTCAACAGATAATATTATAATATTTTAGCTCTTACTTTTCAATAATAATTATTGTTAAACACAAGTAGGTAGGTACTAACCACTAGGTAATATCAATTCGTGTTTGGCTTTCGTTAATAATTAGTAATTACTAACTACATAATAGTTTTATTACTTCCATCTTCTTCGTTTATATCCTGCATTCAACTACGGTTATTGGTATTAAAAATACCATTCAGAAAATACCATTCTGGTTATTAGGCCATTGCCATGAGCGTAAAATTGTTTATATTCATAAATATTTGTTTACGATTTTTGTATTTATAATCGTTTTACTCAATAATTGATCTATTTTAAGATGTTATTTTTATTCATACTTATCTATGATGCACTTTTATCACATTCATCATACCTATATAATATATTATATATTATAGACACCGGATCCAGTTTCAATTAAATTAAATGTAATAAAAAAAATATATTATTATTTTATGGTGAAGTATAAGTATAAAATTCTACTAAACAATATTTCAGTAGAAACTCATCATTTCGACAAATATTTTTTTAAATCTTACTTTAGAGTTTAAACTTTAATCGATGAATGTAATATTTTGAAGTAAGTAAGTACGCGTTTTATTGTTGGTTTTCATATTTTGATTAAAGTACGTGTGAATCACTTACCAGGAATCTACTTATTAGATGTCTGTAATTAGYTTGAATAACTAATTGTACGGTCGAAAAAAGAGCAAAGAAATAATAATAATTCCGTGGATAGTTTTGTTTTTATTATAATGAAAATCATTGATTGATAGTTAACTTATTAAAAACAATAGGTATTTGTACATTATATTATTATTATTTATTTTTATAGGTAGTAGTAAACTATTATAAATTTATAAGTAATATATCACAGGTTGTATAAAAATTGAAATTAAATATAAAGTTTACTTTGCATATTTTTCATTATATTTTAGGAAAGTGTATATTTGAAAATATATTATTTTATTATTTTTATACCCAAATGTAATAATATTGTCGATTAATACTCAACATTGTGTTGAACATCGTTTTAGGACAAATATTTTTCGGAATGAATCATCCTTAATTAAAAGTATCTTTATGACTTTATCGAATGATAATGAATTATTATCGACAGTCGTAAGATTAGAAACTTAAACATAATATGTATATATTGTACGGAAGAATTATAAAATATAAGTACGTCGTGTTTGTGTGTTACGAAGTTATTTCGTATTCCTTCTGTTCAATGCGCGGCGTCATGTAGTTAGGAAATACTAGATATTTATCTACATAATTATTAATATCATACATTTTTTTAATTACGTCTACGTAAATCTTTTTTCGAACAATTCATTTTTTTATTATAATATGTATCTACTTATCATTAAATATACGTAACGTAACGTATAAGGTAACGTATTCTTTAAGGCAGCTTAAATTGAAACATTAWTTGAAAAACTTGTGTGATATTAAAATGACAACTTTTCATGATAAGATAAAAGTGATGGTCTAGAGCATCACTTATTTAAAGTTTAAATACTATATTATAACTAAATAACTAACTCGATCAAATATTAATTTTAATACTTCGATATCTTCTGAATAACATTCAGCTTTGGAATATGAAATTAAAAAAATGTATCGTTATTCTAAAAAGTAAAAACTTAAAAATTATAAAAATAGTGGATAAAAAATTTAATTTATTTCCCCATAAAAACGAGAAAATTGTTTWTATAAGTTATAAAGTTATAATAATATATAACTCATTGTGTACCTCAGTGAAGAGGTAGAACATAGGGTAAAGTTTATATTAATTGTCTTATTATATAATATCCTTATAGTAAATAACCATTTTATCAAACAGACAAATCAAGGTTTATGATTATGATGAGCCTTTTTTACTGTTTATTTTATAATCTCGTGAAAGAATATCTTAGTATTTTATTAAATCTAAGAGCAATTTAAACAAAAATTGTATTCAAATAGTCAATTAATCAGACATCGTTGTGATGTATTTTATCTAGAAACTATCGAGGAACGCCTCCCTATTCCGCTTTCCATACTATTGAAAGTAGTTTAAATATTTTGGTGTCGGTCAAATGGAATTAATAAAGATATAAATTTACAACTTACAAATAAAATCATTGACTTTGTGAATAAAAATAATCCTGTTCTCGATTTATTTATTTCAAACCCGATTCTAGAAAAACTTGATATTTTAAAATAGCGAATCATAAACATTTTTCATGGACAAAACAAAAATCTAGGTTGCCATAACGACAACTTAATCATACTTAATCATATTTTGCTAGGGGCAATCCTTGGTCCTCTAACGCGAAATCAGTAAAAAAAAAAGTTGTACTCATCCCAAAATTCTAATCATGTTAAAATGACGCCAATTTAACACGGAAGCTAATAGCGATAACATAATAATAATATTAATAAGTGTCTAAATATTTTTTTTAAATATATCGTATTTAGAAAATCTAATTKATATAATTCCTAGAAATTTAAAGTATTTAAAATTAATTCAAAACAAAATACATTTTGTCAAAAACAGGCGTTGTGTAAATATTCTCGTTTTTTTATCAGTTTTGTTTAGCTTTTTTCAATTATTTTGTTAGCAACATGCAATTTGTCTATTTCTGACTAAATTTTTTAGTAGATAAAATAAGTGAAAGATTATTGAAAAAATTTTTCTGGTCTAAAATATGATGGCAGACATAAAAAACTCTAATGTTATATTGTTATAAGGAGCAATAGTGACTAAATATTTTTGCTCTCCATGATAAATTGATAAATCATAGATATGTTTTTGGGTAGTGCAGGTTAGGGATATTACAATAAAAATATCAAGTGGCATATTACATTTTTTTTATGAATTTAATTTGCGTTTATATGCCAATTGTTACGAAAATCGGACTTGAAAATATCGATTGTAAAAATTGTACTTGGGCTAAAAACATATCTATGTCGAAAATATAAATAMTAAAAATTTATAGAATCTCCTTATAAGAATATAAGATTGTTATTTTTTATCATTCCTGCTTGTTATAGATATTCTTTTACAGTTTAATATTTCATAATATTACCTATGTTGTACTTCAATTTAATTAGTTTGATCGTATAAAAATAATTTAGATGAATCAAGGTTTTACGTGTTTTCTCAAGGGAAATTTATTTCATCTTGGAGATTCATGATAGATTAACTTCCTGTGTCACACAATTTGTGTTTATCTTATGGTTTAGGAGAAAGTTTTGAATCATGTCATTGGAATTCAAAATAAAAAAATAATGAATTATACTGTTTATTGTGTTTCAGACCATCGCCATGTTTCATCCTTTTATTTACATAGGTAAATTTAAATATTTGCATAAGTGATTATAATTATTAATGGAATATTATGTTTAAAATTAAATATATTTTTTCGCCATAGTATTGTAGAACTCCTTGAAGTATTGACATAGCAAGACTTCCTAAATTTAATTCATGAAATACTAAAATATTTCCAGTATTATATGATTACAAGMAACTCAATAAATTATTATTTCAGATTCCCGTTAAACACATTTATTGTTAACACATTTTCTTGTACATACTGGAGAGGGAAGAACTACCTACGTCTGCCGGTTCAGCTAGTTAATTATAATAAATAATTACCGTTTAAAGTATCGTACTGCCATACTTGTTAAATAAACAATTATATGGATTAGGTACAATTCAAAGTATCTGTCTAACCGTCCTACTTACAAAACAAATACAATTATAGTAGGTACAAAGATAGAATCCAGAATACAAACTTTGTATTATAATAATTACAGACGTGTATGTTATTCATGAACCGTGATTTTTATTTTATTTTTAGCTGAATGTGTAATTTTAAACTGTTTCCTTAAAATTTTAAATTGTCAAAGGTATAGGTGACTTTTTTTTACTATCATGAAGGTTTCAATTACAAGAATTATTAGCCTACAATTACAAAATGTAATGGGTTTAAATTATGAAGGATGACATTATTATTGTTCTTATACATAGGAATGTAAAACACTTTAATATTTACAGTTTTTTATCTAAATCTATTTGTTAGAAAAATTTTAAAATGTTGTCAGAATTATGTTGACTGTGGGCTGCTTCAAGTGACCTTGGACTAGTGAGACATTTTTTTATTTACTATTTAGATATATGTATATATAATGTTATTAACTTATAAAATCCTACATTTTCGTTTTAAGCATTCATACTGTTTATAGTTAAAATCCGAAACGATCGGTAACTAAAAAAATATATACATATTTAAATGTAGGAAATGTTTCGATTAATATTTACTGTAATAATTTCAATGAATACATACTATCAAATTACTAGTAATATTAGTATATTACCTTTTTTATATTTCATCAACACTTATATACTAAAATAGTAAAATTAAATTGTATTGTTAGTTGTTACAATAATACAAAAATACGGTAGATGTAGCATAATTAAATTTATAATTAAGGTATTTTTGAAAATATTCTTGTTTTAAAATTTTAAGTATCTAAAGAGGAAATTATTTTWAAAAAAAAATAATTGTTATCGTACTTTTTAATATGATCCATAGTTTTTTGTAGATGAAATTACTACACTTAATTTGTGAATATTGAATTATTGTTATTTTGTATTTATTTTTATTTTATGAATTTGTATATAATATATTAACAAGCAAATATTAAAGGTTAATTATTTTTAAGCTGTATTAAATATATTATATTATAATATTTTGTGTAATATAAATACATAGATATCTAATAAAATTAAATATATTAGATAATTAAAAATTCATTAAATCTCAATATGAGTTAAGTAGTTATTAAAAAAGAAAAATATTACTTACACAATAATAAAGCTTGATTATCCTATGTCCGTTCATGTTGTTTTTTTATGAGATTGATTAATTTTGTATTATTTTAATATTTAATCTTAAATATTTTTTCGACGACGTAAAAAATTACTAAAACATGTATTTAAATTTGTTCAACTATAATATTTCATAGAAGTAGTATCACGATTGCACGAGAGTCGCGTATAGACTGAAAGGACTTTCTTTTTCAAATATATTCAGTGTGCATGGAGGTTACAGCTATCGCCGGAGCAGGTTTCAGAAAAGGGTAGTCATACGTAAAAAGTACGTCCAACACAAATATAAAATAAATTCCTAATACTTCAAACACAAACAATTATTCAGTAGTTTTATTCTTTCAAGGAATAGACAGTAGGTAGAATATGAGCTTAGAAAATTCCAATGTAAATTTGAAATTACATTAATGTATGACGTTAATTTATTATTTATTAAAGTGTTATTATAATTGGTACTTACATGGTGTTAGTGAAATCTTCACGTTTTTACCGTTATAAACATAATAGCATAATATATATTTATATTTTATATAGTAGGTATAGTATAAATAAAAATAAATAATATTTTAAAATACATTTAAGTTGTTATTAAATAAGAAGTTATTATTATTCATGCGTGTTACTAACACGCTCGCAATTCGTAAATATATATATATTTTTTTTTGATTATAATACAATTTCAGTTATTCATTATTCGTCAGGATGAAAAGCTGCATATAGACGTGGAAATAATAATTGTTTTAGACGTAAGATAGGTGGCTTGGGTCTTCGGGTGGTTTCTTCATAATTTAACTGAGTATTCGGTATGTAATATGCGGGAACCGGCGGATTATAAACAGGAGGGTTATACGGTGGTAAGGTTGTGGGCTGCTTGTAAAAATAAAGAACGGTAGAACCAAGAGCGGGCTGAGCTACTAAGTTCAGTGAAGGAGCTTCTGTAGATCCGTATCCAGATATAGGTTTAGGATCACTCGCTGTTGAACTTTGTTTGGGAGGACATGGTGGTTTTTGAGTCGTTGCTTCCATGCACTTAGGTTTTGGAGTGGTCGCTTCTGAACAATTAGGTTTTGGAGTGGTAACTTCTGGACAATTAGGTTTTGGAGTAGTTACTTCCACACAGTTAGGTTTTGGGGTGGTAACTTCCAGGCAATTTGGTTTCGGAGTAGTGGCTTCTGGACACTTTGGTCTTGGAGTGGTCACTTCCAGACAGTTAGGTTTCGGAGTTGTTATTTCCGGACAATTCGGTTTCGGAGTAGTGGCTTCTGGACACTTAGGTTTCGGAGTTGTCACTTCTGGACAATTAGGTTTTGGAGTAGTTACTTCCACACAGTTAGGTTTTGGGGTGGTAACTTCCGGACAGTTAGGTTTTGGTGTAGTTATTTCAGGACATTTCGGACTTGTAGTTACATCTTCCGGACAATTAGGTTTTGATGTCGTGGGCGCCACTACATAACTGTCAGGTTTGTCTGGATATGCATTTTGATTGAAAGAAACGTTTTCATTTTCCAACGGTACCGGAATAATCACTATTGTGCTCGTACCGTTGCATGGTAGTATTATCTGTGAATTGTTTGACGATTCTAATGGATATCCTTCATCTTCCGAATTATTAATACCAGGTCTCAGGTCATTTAAGTACTCTGGTGGATTGTATACAGAAAAATAGTTTTGTATGCGTTGTATAAAACGTTCGATTGGCGCTGGAAACTTGCCCTTGAACTTATTTGGAGAACTAGGATCCAAGCGTATCAACGTCGRAGGACTGTCTTGTTTGCCAGTCTTAATGTTATCCGGTGGAAGTGCTACATATATTTCCGTATCAACTGATTTTTTTGGTCTGAAAATTAATGGATCGTTGAATTAATTATTATTAATTCGATTCAATTAATCATAGGTAGCCTATATAGTGATACAACGATCCCGATTCCTACCCATAAAATGCAGTGTTATGGAAAATTATAAACCCTGATTAACTCTTTTTATAATAATATAATCCACGTGTATATACATATATATCAGGTTTATAGTTGATTTTATTCGAAATTCCTAATCTACAAGCCGAAAAAAATAGATGTTCTTTCACTRCAAATAATAGTTACAGTCAGTCAACTATATACACGTGTAATAATGAAGACGTTCACCTTGATCTGCCAGGATCGTTCTTGCTGAGTACATTGACGCGGTTCGCGATGCTGGATTGTTCGTAACTCACTACAAAAACCACAAGAACCTAAAAGTATATGTATAAAAAAAGTATGAAAAGTGTGATGATCACCATTCAATTAATTGTATTTTACATTCAGTATTAACAAGATCTAAGAGTTACATCATATTGTATTATGAAATTTTGATTTATATATTATTATAATATACAAGGTGTCTCACAAAGATTCAACTTTATTAAATATGTATTGGGAAAACCGTGTTTATATTATTATTTCGTTACTGATTTTTCTTTCTATTGAGATTTTAACCAAAAATTATAATATCTTGAAATTAATAAGTACATTCATAAATATTTGTATATACAACAAATTTTTAAAGCTCACACTTTTAGATTCTGAGGCCTGACTGCAAAATTGAGCGTATGTTTAATCATGTTAACATTATTTGTTGATAACTGTATTTTGTAAGTCTTTTTAAGCAGTGGAGTACTGTATTACGGCTCAGGGTTAACATACGTTGAAATAAAAAGTACTTATAAAGTCATAAGTTACAACTGATAAGAATATGTTATAAAATCTGCAATTTTATATTGAACTGCTTAATATATAGGTATTTAAGCCACCTGCAAGTGGCAAAAATTAAAAAAAAAACCAAACAATTATAWTCACATATTTACATATTTAAATATACATATGATATATACGAACTCAATAAGGTATAACATAGTATATTAATATTTAAGAATCTTTTTAATGACCATTAACTAATATCAATGTGTAAATGTATGTATAATGAATAATTATTGCCAATAATTGTAATGATTTTCAATAACACTATCACTTTTAGGCAGGTTGCAGTTTAGGTACCTGCGACCTGCCTAAGTAGATACGAACATCAATTAATATCTGATAAATGATAATTATTCATTATTGAGAAAAGCAAATACATTTATGTATAATTATATTTTTTAATAACGATTTCTATACATTATGCACCAAAATCAATGTATAAAAATAGTAGGCGTTCATAAATCAAACAAGGTTTACGTATGATATACCATATCTCGAGAATTAGGTACCTACACAATAATTATTAAATTTTCAAGTTCATAAATATGAAAAATTCCAATAGACATTATTATATTATTACTAGTTATTAAATTATTAACATCGAAATACAATATAATTATTTACAAAAAGTTTTAATTAAAATTTATCAAAAAAATGGTGTATACTAAACTAACTATTTATACAGGTTTTCCTATAAAAATAATTTTTTTATTCAATTTCTAATATTTATAGTTACAATATTTTATATACCCTACACACATATTATAGAAAAATTGCGACATCGTAAATTACATTTAGAGCGTTAATTTATGAGYTTATAAATTGTTTAGGTGGATTTAGGGGTATACACTATATTATACAAATATATATTTATATTAAACTAATTATAATTTATTTTATTGATATTTTAATTTATGTACCACTGCGTATCAAACACCAATAAATTACAACGATTAAAAAATGGTGAGCAAATTTCAATTYAAATGAATTATGACTACCTTATGTAAATTAGTGAAATATTTAAGAATGAAATAAATGATGTCAGTAATGCTAAATAATATGTTTCATTCATGTTAAAATAAACACATAGGTACTGTATACACTTTTCACAAATAAAATATTGCAAGATGAAAAGTTTTAAATTATTCATAAATCAATAATATTCAACAGTTAATAATTTATTTTACAATTAACTAGATAAAAATTAAAGTGATAAAACAAAAACRATAGAATATTTGATTATTTAAAAATAATTCCGATAATAAGAGTTTATCATTAATTTCTTGATTTATGAAAATACTATAATATAATATCTATTCTAGATAATTAATTAACAAATTCTATTGTTTTGTTTACATAATAAAACTGCTGAATTGATACTTTATGACAATACTTTTAAATCAAGTATTAAGCTGTTTTAATTAAGACTGCTATAACGTAAATTAATTAAATATATTATGCATTCAAATTCGTTAAATTTTTTTCCATGTTTACTCACCCAAAATATTGCTAAGTCCATGATTCTTTATTTTAAAAACACAGTAGTGTCTACTGCGATTATATAACGAAGACTGGTATTATTGTGATTCTATCCGGGCTATAAAGTTCCCTTCCATCCTCATAATAGCAAAGGTCATCGATCTTTAAAATAAAATTTACGATTACCTGGTGTGCAGTTTAGGCCTATGCMATAATCTGGTCTAACGTGTTATGCCACACGAAACTGCATACCTATTGATGACATGCGCTCAAGTTCAAGATAATTATCATCTATAGCGTATTTCATCAGCTGGAGGTCATAGTGTCAATTTATAATACAAACATGTTTGTCCGAAATTTRATAATTCATCACGACAATTGATGAAAATACTAAAACCTTAAATTTTGGTTAATTGAATAGATACGTAAATGACGTAGCAATTTACACATTTTTTTAGCGATGGGGKGCTGTCAAAAGAAAAAAAAACATTTGTAWTWTATTTTGTTACGACAATTTAATAATATAATACATAATTTGTCACATTATAAAATACATACATATTAGTACTGTCACAGTGGCATTGCCCATCGCCTTAGTTTTTTTTTAAATTTATCACACTTATAAACACTAAAATTATTAAATACATGAACTACATATGTCTTTTAAAGAGAGCCAAAGGGGTTGGGCCCTCTAGGTAAAGGTAGATGATTGTTATTGCCCATAACACGTTGACAWATACATAATAGTTATTTATCAAAAACTTTTCAATTTTTTGTAGTTAATATATAAGTATTAAGTAATATATACCTATAGTTAGTTTTCAGGTGTAGGTATGATTATAAATTCCGTCTATTTGATTATACTTCTAAAATTTAGCTCGAMTGTATTTCATAATGCTAACATTATTATGGTTGTTTTATTGTTTATAATATTTGTTTCAAAAAAAAAGGTCATATTAACGAATGGTTGACGAACGAGTAATATTAGGCATTGTGATATACCATTTATTAACAGTTATCCAAACATTGATTTACAAAAACAACAGCTCTTTTGCCAAAATATACGAAACAGCTACACAAATAAATTAAATTATAAATCAATYACTTATAAGATGTTAAAAACAAAAGTTAATATCTGTATCAACGATCAAACAAAATTTTAATTTGGCCAACATTTGACATAACATACTTAAATAATATCTTGGGTTCCCGATGGCAAGAACTACCTTTACTAAATATCTAAATATCAAATATGGGGTATCATGACCACTAAACAATCATTTACATATTTAATGATTTCAGAGAATATTTAGAGAACGCGAATATGAGCKCCTCATATTATTATGCCATCCTTAAATAAGTATCTACCTTTTTGATAAACTATAATGATCATAAATTATACATTTAAAATAAATACCTATGTATCTACGATAATATTATTATAAATATATAGATAATCATTGTCATAATTACCTTGGTTACTTATTAATTATCATTTAAATGTTGTTATTAATATTATGATAAAATGTATCATACTACTATTTAGTCTGTCTACATACCATATGTTTTATGTGCAAACAACCCATATCCCATTGGCGCAACTAGGGGGTGCAAATGGGTCTTTAGAACCCCCAAGTTCTAATTTAGCACCCCTTGATATTTTAGATCTAACTATTATAATTATAATGAAATAACATAAATTTTATGTTTTTAATAGTATAGCACCCCACGTTTTAGAGGTCTAGTTGCGCCTATGCCATATCCTAYTACAATTCTTATGTTATATTGTGCGTGATTTCAATTTTAATCTTGTTATATTAATTTTTATTTGTTAAGTAACATTTATCAATTACACCGATAATTTTAATTTATGTAACGCTAATACTCCAATTTCGATGCAGAATAAAGTTGAATAAAAAAATATAGCTACAGATAGGGGTAGTATAGTCATATTATTATACTCTTATAATATCGGGCAAGCATTGGCGTTTTATTTCACTGGCCTTAAATATAAATTAAATATATTACAATCAGCATTTAAATATTTATGTATATAAAATTACTATCACAAATGTGTTTAAGTGTCAAGTACAATTTATAATTTTACTAGTGTTACAATGTTTTGATTTTAGCCACTTTGTAAACTCCCAGTTCKGGCGCATACTTTGCCACATAGGCTGTTGTGAGCTTGTGAACTGGTGTTAAGTTAATCGTTGGTGTAACATCYATTGATATAGCAGTGGCGAGAGGTTCTGCAATCGCTGTAGCATTTTCGCCTACAACCGCTGTGCCTATAGGTCCAGCTCCGGCTCGGCCACCGATTCCGGCGAACGCGATACCCTGTGGCTGAGCCGCTGCTATCGTTGGACCTATTATATACATACGAGACACATTTTAATTTTAATTTTGCAATTCAAAAACTTGTAAATTAAAGACGTTATATCGTATTATAGGTRCAATACATACGTAATGTAAATATTATGTATTACATCATTTGTATATAACAGCACTTATTACAATCATATTATATACATAGAAAATAATCAAATCATTAAGTTCTTATGTTACCTCCTTACCAGTTCCTACCAGTTCCTACCAGTTTTTTTTTAGAATATTAACAACCCTCAAATCTATTTCAATTTTAAACTTTATCTTAAACTGTATACAATTTTGCAGAGCAATAATATGTGCTCTTCAGCAAGTTTCAAGAGACAATTTTTGTGTCACTGGTGTCAGTGTATTATGTCGTCAAAACTTTGACATAAGATTGTTGTATGAAAAATTTAGATTGGTTAAATGGTTCAAACTATTTAAGCAAAATAAATACATTTTTTTTATTAACCAATAATTTTGTATTTCACATAGAAAAAAGTAGTTTTAAAATACAAGGATATTTTCGAAATATGTATTATTTGACAATAAATTTGTATTTTAACTCAGCTTCTATATAATAATAGTATTATGTGCATTAAATTGGCTCATGTTACTATTATATATTCTWATTGATTTCAAATAACATTTTATTAGGTATATAAAATAAAATTATAAAATTATATTTGGATTTGAAAATTGTATAAAATAAATTCAGTCGGGTCATAGCTCCAAATTAGTTCGAACCTGTGGATACTTTAGATTGTGGTTGTTGTTGGCCTTCGGCATTGACTTGGAGTCCGGTTACATTTGAATCGATGACCACAGAGGATTCGTCTTTCTGGGGTTGTTGGTCATATTGTTGGAATGGTTCCGGTTGTTGTTGGAATTGTCCTTGTTGGTACTGTCCCTGTAAGTTTTCTTTTTGGAATTGCAAGTATCTGTGGTAAGCTTGTGCTGCGGTACCTTGGTTGGCCTGTGTGGCCTGGTAGTATTTTTGATCAGCAAACTATTAAAATAAAAACAAATTTTCAATAATCGTCACCTAATAAGAATAGCTGGTATTGTACAATAACTTATAACTATACAATATTGTTAGGYAATAATAGAGAATTTCTGCAAAMATTTGAAATACCTCAGAAATTATGTAATTGTATTRGGGTGAACGTAATGTTAATTCATTATAATATGGTTATACATSTAWTAAAGTACACTRMATTTACCATATTATAYCTATTGAACAATAATTTTTTTTTCTGGAAATTTTCGAAAAGCATATTTWAAGARATATTTACRCGAAGTGAGCTGTGCAACGTGATTTAACAATAATTATGTTTCATTACCGGTTGTGGTTGCTGTTGGAACAGCGATTGGATATTTTTGGGGAAGAGAAAACTGGAAACTGCGCCATTGTTCGCTGCATTTAACTTTACTGGGTCATAAACTGCTTGTTGATAAGGTGCTTGTCCGTAGAATTGTGGTTGACCGAAGTACGGTAGAGGATATGCAGCGAATTGTTTAGACGGTGATTGAGAAGGTTGTTCGTTGCTAGCGACATCTGATTTGGGTGCTTCTGCTGCAGCTGGTTTTTCACCTTTTGAYGGACTTTCGGCTTCRGCTACGAATGAAAAACACACATATATATTGAATTTTGTGTTTTGATTATTTTATTGCCTTACATGATGGAGTTTCAGAATTTGTAGCCGATCCTTCTGCTTCCGCTGGATTTGTTTGAGCTCCGGTGTTTCCGTAGGGGAAATTCGGTATGTAGCTCCAGAAACTGTTTGACAAATATTCTCCCCAGCCGGGTTGAGCTCCTGCTGCAGCGGGTTGGGTTCCGTCATTTTGAACCTGAGAGTATGGGTACTGTTGAGCTTGAGCGTTGGCTGGGTATGGAGCGTATCCGAAATAATAAGGGTTGTTGACAGGACTAGCTCTGAAAAAGTCAAGAAAAACATTTTATTAACCAAAGAAGATGACTATAATTTATGTAATCTGACGTTTTTTTTAAACTTCCGCATTAATTTTATAAATTTAAAAATGTTATTAAATAATATTTTATACTTATTTGATGTTTGAACATTGCTATTTTTTTTTTTTTTTTTAACATGTAATACTACTTGACATTTAATTTTCAAATATAAAATCATTATAATATAAAGGCTGATGTTGATTAAATTATAACGAGTATTYATAAGATAATAATACTACAGTTTATTGTTATTAGTATGGCTCTACAAAAAACTATAAATACAGTTTTTAATCTTTTTATTTAACTGCGTGAATCAAATAAAATGTAGGTAGGTATGAATTACATTTACAGATATATATTATGCTTCACGTTGGATCGTATTTGAAAATRTTTTAGGTACTTACGGTACAAATACTTGTCGATAGTTGGCAGCTGGATGTGCCACGGCTGGATATGAGGCAGCTGCTACATAGGCGGGTTGCACAGTGTATTTGGGTTGTGCAAAGTATACCTGAGGATATACATTGGGATACACCACCGGGTACGGTTGAGGGTAGTATGGCACTGCCGGGTTTGGTGAGATCTTGCATTGAACACTGACTGCCAACAGGCAAGATAGGGTAATAAACTGCAAAATATTAATGTATCATATTAATCATAAGACGTTACGAATCGTTCATGTTCATGTTCATATTCAGGCCYCTCACGTCAAATTGTTGGTCCCCTGTACTAAATTGTCTGAGGGCCCTACAAAATTGTGTTAAATATAAAATAAGTATTCC